CCTCTGAAACGTTGGTAAACATCGACCAGACTACACAGCGCAACAACCAAGAAGACAGAAATCTTCATACTCACCGCTGTGAGAACCTCAAATCTTACAATACATTATTACCTTTATCTCTCTCTGTAAGGCGGAAAGGAGTGCCTGAGCTGGGATCAGTACGTTTAAGTGGAACATAATCAGCGATATGTTGCAATGACTCGGAATGTTAAAAATTTTCACTTAAAATAGGGTTCACAAACGGCAAATAAACTTCTAATTCAGAGATATTTATATGTGGTTACCGTAGTGTGAAATATAGCTGTTTTAAAATACTAATGTACAGCAAATATTCAAACTGCAAATTCGAATTGGGTATGGTAATTTCAAAAAAATATTTATATATCGTCATTGTTTGGTAGAACTGGTATGAATTTTTAGAACGCTTAAAATAGCAATTACATTTCTGATTTCTGGAAGCGGAATTTTCGACTTTGTTCGTGAATGTAACTGACTCCTCTTCAAATACCTTCCACAAAACTTCATTAAGTATAGACTATATAATGTAGTATGTATTCTCACCACTTTATCTCCACGTCACGTTCCACTTAACTGCAGATGACCGACTGGTTGATCAGCAGACTTGCATGGTGCTGGCAGTTAGTATCAAGCCCAATGCAGAAAAAATATCCCTCTGCAGATAAATTTCGATCTAAAGGAGAGATAATTTATTTCATTCCCAAATAATTGGCAGACCTGTACAGTTAGTTGAACAGTATTTACTTGTATAGTACCTTTCATGTTGTAATTAAATCACAACATTCTTAACGATTATGAATCAGAATGAGATAAAATTTGGTATTTGAGTATTAGGTACGCTTTAAATAATTAAGTCAAAATGAAAGTAATTTGTTCGGTTTGTCTCCTCATCTGTTAGGAAGTCGTATCCTGCCATCTGACAGTAGTGTGTTGATATTAGAACAGCAACTTTAAATATTCTTGAACCATAAAATACTACCTTTATTTACATTTCGTCAGGCGGACAAAGGAACTAAAGCGACTTGGGGGCAGTACATCAGAACAGAAAAGGGCATTTTGGTATATCTGCAATGATCTAAACTTGTATTTCGAAGGCTCTAGGTTTTAAAATCTCGGCCGCATTACCAAGTGACTTCATTGAGGGGTGTGATGGTTCTACTGTGTACCAACAAACTAAACCAGTTTTATGAAATAGGTATTGATAGCCTCTTTCCTAAAAATTACACTCAAAAGCCATAAGCATTATCCGTGTCATACGACCACGAAGGTGGTGATGGCGAACTGATATTCGTTGCATCCCGAATAACGCTAGATTAATAATAAGAGAAGGAAGGATAATAATATTGAAGATTTCTGTCTTCT